TTTTTTTTGTCTATGCAGACCAGTCTTCGATTTTCACCTTCGGTGAAGTTTATACTGTGCCAATATGACTACGCTTCTTACTCCCAATGCCGATGTTAGAGGTCCATCTCACTTTTGCAAGTGCTCATTGACATATGCTCTTAAATGTGTAGGATTCCAATGCTTACTTTAGATGCCATTAAAAGTTGTTGCATTGCCCTGTACGGGATTCTGAAGTTGCATTGGCCCTATACGGGATTCATGCTATTTTTTTAGTGGCGTGTGAAGATTTTATCCTCAATAGATGTCTTTATCATCACATACAGAGTAAGCATTGAGATCGAGTTTTAGTGATTTGTTCTATATTGTTTGTTTGGCTAATAGTCAATTATATTCTTTTATTGTGTGCATTGCTATTTAGATTTATAATCTAAAATATATACATTTAGATAAGTAGACTTTTTTCCCATTGAATGATACCCTATATTGGTTATACTTATTATTCAATTTAAATATATTATATATACAATTAAGCATTTATTGTACATTGTTTACCACCTCAGCTGTTCATGTGGCAGATTCTCTTTCTGTCTTCAATTTTACGAAATATTCCAATATATGGCAATTGTGGAACTTTATTTCTTCCACGCCTTCTTCACTCTCGAGATATGAAACTTTAAGGGATAGAAATCTTTGATCAATATCAGATCCCGATCCTTAATTATCAATCCTCATCCTCAAAATTCTGGAAATCTCCATCAATTTCCCGATCCTCGACGAGCTTGGATATCTAAAGTTGCCGGTACGCTTAGCCAATCGAAGCTCATCTCAGCGCTTGCTATTAGAAATAGTCATAGAGGCAAATTCTTGACTCCGATCATCCAGTTTGTCCCAATTAAAAATCGACCAATTGGTGGCAGATCTATCCGAGATGGAGTTCAAGGGTGGAGCTTTGTGGATTTCATTACTTTGGACATCCTTTGGTACTTCAATTATTTGAGCTGCATTTTTGTTGCTTCAACATTCCAGTTATGAAAGAACTTTTTTTTCTCTGGTGTATGTTTTGATCAATATTGAATTGAAAGAGTAATCCCCAACTCCATTACAGGGAATAATGACCACCTGTACCATAAATAGAAATGTCACTTAAAAAGTTAGTACAGTTTTTGAAATATAAATGTTTGATCCCAGATTTGGATGTATTTTGATGGTGTGTGAATATGCTTCCGAATGTGTATTTTTTACTAAACATCTGAATATGTATCTTCATTCCAGTTTTGAAACCAAACTTTTACAAAGCTTTGAATATCTACTAAAAATCTAAATTCTTGATTACATGTTATAAGTGAATCCTATATTATCATCTCAACCTTCATGATGATCTATTTTCATCTCATATTTCTCCCTTTTACAGTTCTCTTTTATTAATTGCCAATGGCCATATGTATTTCATATTCTGTCCAAATGCTCTTTGCGGTGCATTACTCAATATAATGGCATCACTCTGGGAATATGCTACACTAACCTTTTTTACTTTCCTACTTCCTTAGTCATTTTACAAAAAAAATGTGCGGATCTCAAAAGTTGAATGTTGCACCATTGTTTAAGTGCCACAGGTTAACTTTACATTATTTTATTTCACGAGAGAATCAAATTATTTATACTTAGCAATCTGTTTAGTTAAAAAACAATAAATAAGAATTGCCTTTTTTCATCGGCTGCGAATGTTGAGGCCAAAGCACTATCTATTTTTTTCTCTTTAAAATATGATAGCTTTGTTGTGATATCATAGCACCACATGGAGAAGTATTCTTAGTTTGATGTTGTAACTATTTACAATCATAAAAAACAGAATAGAAAGAAATTTATGTCTGTGTAAAATCTATCTTAGTTGTATTTTTCATTACCTGAATATTTATTTTTGATTGTTTGAAGCGGATATATAGAAAAGGAAGCATCCATGTTGCA